CCCCAAAACCCCAAAACCCCAAAACCCCAAAACCCCGATATTTCAATTATATTTTGAAACAGCAACAATTTAAATTTTTGAATGGAAGAAGGAGATTCTCATGAAAATATCCCGGATTTTTATCCGAAACAACATCTGACTGCTCAAAGTGTTGAGTTTCTTCAGTCTGATCCAAGTTTTCAGATGGAGGAAGGTCAGATTGTAAAGTCTAGTCGACTTGAAGAGAGAAGAGGGAAAGTTATGAGATACAGTAATTTCACTTCAGGAAGAGAAATAATTGAATCACAAGATTCATGCGATTGGTGCTTTGAGGGTGAAAGTAGTAAGAACCAACACATAAGTGCACTTGAGAAGCTTTATGACTCAGACGAAGTAACTTCTCTGATTTCATGTCAAATCTCTCCTAGAAAGAAGTCCTGAGCAGGCATTGAAATAAGGAGCCCTAACAAACCAACAGACAATGGCAGTAATTTTGGAATGTCTATGATTTACACCACGATGAAGGTTAACAAGACTCCTCTTGATGAGAAGGGCAATAGAATGGAACTGAAATTCCCTCCTGCAGAGATGATTGAAAATTTAGACCAGCCTGAAGAGAATCTCCAGACATTTGATCTCATGACCTATGATAAAGAGAATCCGAGTCTGTCCTCTATTCCAAAAACTCCTGAAAGATGTCAGAAATGTAATGAAATATGAAATTGTAAGAACACAAATGAGATTTCAGATTTCAACCCAATAAGAGAAATCTTTCAAATTACTGCTAACCAGGTAGAGACAGATAGCGAGCCAGTTTGAGATGAATCATCAATCATGAGACCTGATCAAAACGATATTTACTGAAGAGAAGCAGAAAGGTTGAATCAAGAAGAAAATCAGAAGAACCTCTCTCTGATTAAGAAACAAAATGGTATCATCAAAAGGCTTAAATAAAGATGTAGATGCTATCAAAAGTAAGATTTATTATAATTTTAGATTTGAATAAATCAATCCCCTTGTTAAGAGAAGAAAATATAAAATTCCTAAAAAGAATTGAAATACTAGAAGCTCAGATAAAAATGAAAAATATTCAAAAAGTCAATCAACAAATTCAGACATGTCATGATGCCCAACAATTTACCCAAAGGAAGGAAGTTATAGAATTTCTAATCAAAAACCAAAGTAAAGCGATCCAATTTACTCCGCATTTGGCTGAAATTTTCTTGAAATTGATAGTTGAAAACGACACGCCCGGACATCATGAATTAGTATCCTTACTGGAAAGATTTTGTAAAGATAATAAAAATATATTGGGACAACAAAAATTTTAAGCTTTCCGATTCAATCATCGAGCTGTCCTCTTCAGGGCAAGAAGCCTACAGCACTGTAGGAACATTTGAGAAATTACAACAGCTGTATACATTTGGAAACCAGAACCAGCCTAATCATCGAAGTCAAAGTCGGTGCAAAGTCTCTAGTTTAAATGAAAAGGTTATTGAAAGCGAGAGTAGCTCGAAGTACTCCTTTTGTGACAAAGAAAATCAGATGGATATCAGAGCAATAATTCCAAGTAATTTACTTCTTCGATACTTTAGAATTCACTAAAAGAGATCAGAAGAATCAGTGCAAGAAAAGAGATTCTGGAGTATCGGTCAGCTCTATTAAGAGTCATAAAATTAATAATAATGCCAAGCAGAACCAGGGAAATTCTAGGAACAAATTTATCGTTCCAGCTTCGACTCTACGGTATGACATTAATAAGACCAAAATTGTATTGAAAAAGTCCAAGAAGGTCAAAACTAAGGCAAAGAAGAGCAGGAATAATCCAGTAATGAGTAGTGCAAAGACTTCATTGGATGAACAACTGTGAGACTCTAAATTAGGATCAGTTGGCAGTTTACTGAAGGAAAAATGAAATAAGAATTATTCGATTAGTTCATCTCAAGATACTCAACCTTTTGGAGGAGCGTCAAAAGGGACTAAGCTTAAGGTTATAAAGAATTTTTCTAAGACAACAAAATTAGATAAAAGCTCTTTTGTAAAAACTCATGATAGAGTCCCCACTATATGTGTCACTCAAGTTAAAAAGTCGACGAATGGAGGGAAATCACGAACAAATAATGAAAGTAAGAATTATAACTTTTGAGCTAAAAGAGGATCTCTAAACAATTATAATACTAAATCGAATAAGGATTCTCGCAGAGATATGTTTTGTACAGCCTCAACTATTTTAAAGGACAGTACTAATTCTAGAAACAATAAGAATATTTTAAATAAGAAAGCGTGCAGCACATATTCGGAAAGATTTATTCGAGGTGTTCCTAAATAAAGGAGACTCTGGAGCAGCAAAAAGGCTTTCTAATTATTCCTAAAAAGGCCGAAACAAAGTCAAATGGAAAAATAAAACTGCCAAGTAGTACGAAAGGAAGTCAGTCTAGAAATCCCATCAAATTCCAAACCTCTGCTAACTCAGCTGCCTCTCTGTCAAAATCCAGCTCTATTAAGAGATTCTATCCAATCACCCATAATTCGACAACAAAGAAATTTAAAAGTAAAATTTCAAGAGTAATAAGCAATGGAAGGAAGTAAATATTTCTATCTTTAAAATTGTTAAATTCAATCAGTTAATCAGATTGTGGGGTTTTGGGGTTTTGGGGTTTTGGGGTTTTGGGG